CAAGGCCAGCTGCTATTATCTTTCATGATTGCTATTGTCTTTCATGGTTGCTATAACTTCTTTTCTTTGTGTATCTGCTATAGTCTAGATCGCTCTCCAGCCTATGCGTCCAAACAGTTATGGCTATTGTATAGATTCTGTGAGTGTGATAAATTCTAATTTGGAAGTAGCATCATCATGCTGGCATCTTCAATCATAATGAAAAAGTTTATCCTAACACAACTGCTGGACATTATAAGATGAGACTGCACTTGTCTTATTGTAGTAGAACAAGTTATCTATACTACAATTTTGCCTACCATATATGGTATTGTGCTGACCGCTTAAGGTGTTGTGCTGATGATGGCCGAGGAAATTTCCCCGGGAAAGCCCCTTAAACCGAATGACTCGGAATGAGTCGGCACGTTTCATTAGTCGAATTATATAAAGCGAGAGACAAAAGTCTTTATTCGTTTTTGGCTAGAGCCTACTCGGCCTGGAGTTAACTACAGTAAGGCACAACTGCTAGATCTAATAAATAGATCTAGGATTCAAATGACTACATACATAAAAATAAAAGCCAGCCATTTAGCTGAGAACAACAAGGACCAGTTAGAGAAATACGAGTGTCCCAAATGCGAGCACATACTAACAGACGCAGTACAAACTAGCTGTGGGCACTGGCTGTGTCATGATTGTGCAGATGGAATATTTCAGAAGATGTAAGACGATTATATGTGTACAGGTTTAATTCTATTGTTTATTAATTTAATTCTTTTTAGGGAAGATACGCCATATTGCCCAAGAACAGACTGTGGAGAAGAACTTACTGCAGAAGAAGGCAGACCAGTATGTCTATCCACTTAAACTTACTATTATTATTGTTCTCTTTCTCTCAGTTTTTCCCTGATAGATTTGTTAGGAAAGAGATTAGCCGTTTCGTAGTCGCTTGTATTAATCGCAAGTTTGGTTGCATCTGGGAAGGCAAGCTGGGTGAGCTTGGTAACCATCTTAGGACCTGTGAGCATAACAAGACTGAATGCAAGCATTGTAATCAAGCATTCTCGCCATTGGAAGTAAGTTTCATACTTTCATTGTCTATGTCTCAGGGCAGTCAGGGTTTAAATACAGCGACACCTATGGGTTACTTCCTGTTGTTCGAAAATAAACTTTATATTGCCATATATAGGGATTGCTATTTTTAGAATTTTAGACTGTTGTGCCAGCTTTATTTCCTTATTTGGGAAAACTATATTCATAGCCACATAGCCATAATAATCAATGAACCTTAACAATGACAACATTAACCATGAATTCACTTTCCTTATAGTACCAGTCACATGTGGATCAATGTCCTAAGATGACTGTTGCTTGTCCGCTCAAAGATCATGGGTGCAAGGAGACAGAGGAGATGTCACGGGAAGAATGCATTGAGCATGTTGCATCAAAAACAGGAATCTATTCTCACTTTTTGATGATCGCTAGCATCTTGTCTTCAATAGTACCATCAAGTTCTACTGATGCTCAGGAAGGAGAAAGGAGAAATGTTGTTGAAAGTGATGGAGGATATGAATTGATGTCTAAAGTTCGTTCTGCTTCACCAAAGGCAATCAAAAGATATGTCAGCACTGATGGACCAGCGCCTAGGGGAAATGAGTTTGGATTCTTAGAAGATGGTGTAGCTGGAGCAGTAGGAGGATATGAAGGAATGGGAGGAGGAAGATTAGATGACAAATTAATGAGTTTAGTCATGACAAAGATAACAGGAATACAAGCAGAACTAACAAAGAAGGACAGTCAAATACACACTCTACAGGATAAAGTAGCCCAACTGGAGACAACACTCTCTACTAAGATGTCTGAGAATGAAGATAGAGATTTCCGACTTTCCCTGATGGAAAATAGTAATTTTGATGGTTCTATGGTCTGGAAGATACCTCAGTTCTCTCAGCGTATGGATGATGCCAGGACTGGGAAATACACTTCAATCTTTTCTCTTCCGTTCTACTCCAGTCGCTATGGTTACAAGATGTGTCTTCGCCTCTACATCCTGGGGGATGGTATAGGAAAGGGCACTCACATGTCTTTGTTCTTTGTTGTCATGAAAGGAGAGTTTGATAACATACTCCAGTGGCCTTTTACACACAAGGTGACCTTCAAGCTAATTAATCAGTGTGGCGCTCGGGACATCATGGACATATTCCAACCTGATCCACTGAGCTCTTCATTCCAGAAGCCGAAATCAGATATGAACGTTGCCAGTGGATGTCCTCGTTTTGTGTCCATGAATGAGCTAATGCAAGGTGGATTCATTGTTGACGATACGATATTCATAAAGGTCAAAGTGGACACAGCAACCATGCGTCACCCATGACACCAAAATAGAAGAGAAAAGCAGTTTGATTACACTGGAACTACTAACTATGATAACTAGGAAACTCACTATTATGATATATCACTTAATCATCATTTAACACTGTTGTATTGTAATGAAACGAGGCCTTTGATCCACAGTGAATAATTTCGTCATACGGTTCATCTGTCGATTGAATTGTGTGGCGGAGTGTGGATCTAGACTCTGACCTTTTTTTGTTACAATGCAGTAGTATTGCTGATAAAATAGTGACTTTGTTGTTTATGCATTATGATTATGATAGAGTTTTCTGGTCTTTTATATTGCTAGTTCAAATGTAATTGCAACTGCTATGAAAATTTTCTTATTTTTGTTAACCCTACAATTTATTTTGCTTCAATGTTTAGTTCATATCTTATGCCATTTTTATCATGAAATTTCATTTCATAAAACTATAAAATTTCTTGTAGCTTTTTCATTTTTGTAGCATTTTTATTGAATAAGATTATAATACAAAAATAAGTATACACACATTTCATCCATTATTATTATTATTATTATTGTCATAGTTCTGATTTTTTCATTTTATTATAGATTATTTGAATTCTTAACATTCCAAGTCACATTGAAGTGAAGAAGTATGCAGCAACAAATTTGGTGTCATCGACTGATAAATTCTCGGCATTCTTGAAAAATTCAATTTATTTTCTTTAGTCATTTGTGACCTCAGAATATACTTCACTCTCCACGGCTTCATAGTAGGACACTTCTCAAGGAGAAGAGCAACAGCTCCAGTGACATGAGGAGCAGCCATTGAAGAACCTTGTCTAGTCGAGCGGCAGTTCTTGCAATTAGTTGAGGCGCTGAGTATTTCTGCTCCAGGAGCATAAAGATCAACACAAGTACCAGCATTAGAGTACATGAGGGGCTCATCACTTTTAGTGCTGGCAGAAGCCAGTGATGATACCTTGTATGT